TAGCCGTTCGCAACCACCTGCCGTTAGCCGAACGCGCTCACTTTGGCCAGCACAAGACTGCTAAAGCCGTGTACGACGCTGTAGTCGCTCGTTACTCTTCCCCAGCCACTGCTGCTCTCGGCCGCCTTATACTGCCCTACCTGTTTCCCAAGCTGTCAGCCTTTGCCACAGTCGAGGACCTCGTTACCCACCTTCGCACTAGCGAGACTTGCTACCGCACTGCCCTCCCAGCCGAGTTCCTAGACAGGAACCCCCCCCCCCGATGTACATCACTCTCTACTTCATAGTCACCCGCCTCCCCGACTCTCTTCGCGCTATCAAAGACCACTTTCTCGCACTTGACCCCACTGACCTCACTGTCGACCTGCTCGAGAAGCACCTCCTTGCAGCTGAGACTAGCGTAGTCACTGTAGGTGCTGCTCGTGGCACTCCTCGCACACCCTTCTTTGAGGGGTGTTCCCCCTCCCCCCTTGCCCCCTCTTACGCTTCTGCTGCTGCTGCTGTTGACATCCTTGGTGCTGAGGATGTAGGGGCTGCTTCTGCTCTTAGTGGGAAGCGCCACAGCAGCAAGGGCAAGGGTGGCAAGAGTGGTGGCGGTGGCAGCGGGGGTGGTGGTGGTGGAGGCAGTGGAGGCGGTGGAGGTGGCGGAGGTGGTGGCACCGGTGGGAGTGGTGGCGGGAGTGGGGGCTTCGGTGGCGGCGGTGGTGGTAGCGGTGGGGGTGGGGGTAGCGGTGGTGGCGGCAGTGGGAGTGGTGGCGGCGACAGTGGTGGTGGACGAGGTGGAGCTGTTCAGCAGGGAGGTTCTGGCGGTGGCCAGAGGCAGCAGCAGCAGCGTCGGAGCGAGACCCCTACACCCCAGCAGCATCGTGAGTGGTTTGCTTAGCATGGGGCGTCTAGGGGTAGTGTTCGCTACTCGTATGTCATTCGCACAGGTGACCACGCTGGTCAGACATGCGGGAAGTTTCACACACAGCACCGCTCCTTCTCCCGCCTTGACGACGCTTGGCGCGCAGAGTTTGGCAACGAGGCTAAGCGCCCCCACTGGCTAGAGCTGCTTAGGTCTGGAGTTGATATCTTTGCTCTTGACTATGATGCTATCCTTGCTGCCATGTATGCCTTGTCTGTTAGTGCTGAGGGTGATTGTTACCTATGTGTGCCGCCCGACCCAGGTATAGAGGCTGCTGCTCTAGGTCCTAGTGAGTCTGCTCTCCCTGGTACTGCGCTTGCTGAGGCCTTGCACACCTTCACACTTGACTCAGGTGCTTTCCACTGTTTCATTCGCGACAGTACCACCCTCACTCCACTCCCTGCACCTGTTCCGGTCAGACTGGCTGACCCCTCAGGGGGCCCAGTTCTTGCCCGTTCCTCCATTGTTCTCCAATGTTCGGCGGTTCCGTCCGGCTCACTCTCAGGTCTTCACTTCCCCTCGTTCTCTACGAATTTGGTGAGTACCGCTGCCCTCCATGATGTGATGGTCACTACCACCACTCCTGGGGGTCAGCGTGTGTCGATCTGCACGTATATACGGACGGGCCGTCACCTGGCCATGTTCACCCGTCGGCCTGGGTCGAATCTGTACACACTGACTGCTGCGCCTCCTTAGGTAGCTGCGTCTGCTCAGGTGTCCGCGTCATGTCCGGTAGCAGCCCCCTGCTCGTGTCGCCTCCTGTCGCACCAGACTCTCCTGTGGCACCACCGCCTTGGTCACCCCTCCCTGCCACGCCTTCATGGCATGCACTCCCGCCTCCTTGTTTCTGGTCTTCCCAGGTCTCTGCCTCCCCTCCTGCCCTCGCCTGCCCCGCCCTGCCTTCCTTGTGTCGAGGGGCGGCAACGCGCCGCTCCTCACTCCTCTTCGTTTCCCCCGACGACTGCTCCCCTGCAGACTCTCCACATGGACGTGTGGGGCCCAGCCCGCGTTAGTGGACATGACCGCGAACGCTACTTCCTGATGGTTGTTGACGACTACACGCGTTACACCACGGTCTTCCCCTTGCGCAGCAAGGATGAGGTCCCTGATGTCTTGATCCCTTGGATCCGCACAGTCTGTCTCCAGCTCCGCGAGCGGTTGCGCGAGGACCTTCCTGTCCTGCGTCTGCACTCTGACAGAGGTGGTGAGTTCCTTGCCGGAGACCTCACCTACAATGCGTTGGACGGGGAAGGTTGGCGATGTGTCGATGTTCCGGGTCTCGGGCTCTCATGCCTTTGTCCGCGATACTTCTGCGGACAAGCTCTTCTCCCGTGCCATTCCCTGCGTCTTCCTTGGCTTTCCCCCTGACGCGCTTGGCAGGCAGTTTTACCACCCCACCTCGCGCCGTATCCTGCCCTCTTAGGACGTCACGTTTGACGAGTCGGTTCTCTTTTACCGCCTTTTCCCCTACCGCACTGCCCCTCCCCCCCCCCCCCCCGCCGCTCTTCCTCGCTCCAGGCCCCCCTCCGGTAGACCCCCTCCCCCCTCAGGGTCCTGCTCCCTCAAGTGTGTCTCAGGTAGACCCACTCCCCCTGGCTGTGCCTGTCAAGGTCGCTGTAGACTCAGGTGTTGCTAGAGGTGCTGCGTCTGGGGGTGCTGAGCCTGCGACTGCGGAGCCTGGGGGTGCTGAGCCTGAGGGTGCGGAGCCTGGGGGTGCTGAGCCTGAGGGTGCGGAGCCTGGGGGTTACTGAGCCTGAGGGTGAGGAGCCTGGGGGTGCTGAGTCTGAGGGTGCGGAGTCTGGGGTTGCTGAGCCTAGGGGTACTACGTCTGCCGGAGGTCCAGTGGGTGCCTCGGCATGACTGTCTCACCGGCAGGAGCCTCTCTCACCGCAGCAGCTGCGCGAGTGGTTTGCTTAGCGAACACGCGTTAGGAGTGGCCTTGCAGGAGCTGGAGGCTCTGCCACTGGAGGCACTGGAGCTGGAGGTGCTGGAGCTGCTGGTCCTGGAGGTGCAAGTACTAGTGGTACTGGAGTTGCCGCAGCTGGTGGTGTTGGAGGCGCTGGAGCTGGAGACCCTGGCGCTGGAGGCGCTGAAGCTGGAGACCCTGGAGCTGGAGGCACTGGCGCTGGTGGCGCTGGAGCTGGAGGCACTGGAGCTGGAGGTGCTGGAGCTTCTAGTCCTGGAGGTGCTGGAGTTATTGCTGGAGCTGGAGGTACCGGAGGTGCTGGAGCTGCTGGTCCTGGAGGTGCTCGTACTAGGGGTACTTTTGCTGCCGGAGTTGGTGGTGTTGGAGGCCCTGGAGCTGGAGGCACTGGAGCTGGAGACCCTGGAGCTGGAGGAGCTGGAGCTGGAGGCGCTGGAGCTGGAGACCCTGGAGCTGGAGGCACTGGCATTGGAGGTGCTGGAGCTGGAGGAGCTGGAGCTGGAGGCACTAGAGCTGGAGGCGATGGAGCTGGAGGCGCTGGCGCTGGAGGCGCTGGCGCTGGAGGCGCTGGTGCTGGAGGCGCTGGAGCTGGAGACCCTGGAGCTGGAGGTGTTGGCGTTGGGGGTGCTGGAGCTGGCGGTCCTGGTGCTGGAAGCACTGTGCAGCGGCGCCCGTTTTTCGTTCCGCCGCAGCCGTCGTCTCTGCCACCACCTGACTCGGTCCTTGGCCAGGTTCTTAGTCTCCGGACTTCTACTGGCCTTACTCCTAGCTTATTGTGTCCACCGCCTAACTAGTCGCAGCCACAGTTACAGCCAGACTCCCCACTGCCTGCTCCTTCTCCTTACGCTGAGCAGACAGAGTCTCTTACAGAGCGTCGTGAGCCTGAGTCTCGTCCTGCCTCACATGTTCGCGCTGTTCGCACTGGTTGTCGTGTTCCTCGTCCGCGTCCTCCTCCTGTCCCCGGCACTCACATTATGGCACTTCGTCCTTCCTATGTTCCACTACGAGTTCCCCTGCCGCCTCCTCCTGCGTCCTCTCTTCCTGCCGTCCCAGAATCATAGGCGCCGAACTTTTCTTTGCGCACGAGCTGAAATCAGAGGCCCTGGCTGGGTACTGTGTTGATGGAGGCCGCTGGCTGCGTAATCAATGATTATGCTGACCGCAAGTTATACACTTACTTGCAGTGCACCTCGTTATCGTCCGTTGGCCGTCCTGGCACTAGTTCCTCATCAAACTTAAATATTATTTACATTCTCAGAATTGATTAGCCTTTGGTTTTGTATTATTGCTCAACACCCTGTGCCTACTCTTAGCCGTCTTTTTTCCTTTGGAGTGTTGACTCTAGGGTGTATTGAATTGAGGGTGTGTTGTATCCAGGGTGCGTTGAATCTAGGGTGTGTTGAATCCAGGGTGCGTTGAATATAGGGTGCGTTGTATCCAAGATGCGTTGAATCTAAGGAGCGTTTTATCTATATCCAGGATGTGTTGAATTCATAGTGCGTTGAATCCAGGGTGTGTTAAATCCATGGGGCGTTGAATCCAGGGGCGCGTTGAATCCAGGGTGGGTTGATCGAGAGGGGTTGAATCCCGCCAGCCAGCCAGGTCCCCCAAGCCCCTCTCCTTGTGTCTGTACTCCCATCCTCCCATGTGTCTATCGCATCCTCTCCTCTCATCAGCATCACCAAGCACCTCCCACGTACCGAGTTGGTGTCCCTGTGCTTCTCCTGACCTGCTGCTGGGGAGGATTTGCCTGCAGCTGTTTCAAACGTGTCGCGCCAATTGGAGGAGCCTCACAGCTTGTACGGATGAAGTGTGCTGTATGAATTGCGTCAGAAAGCTTTTAAAAAGGGGTTCTTTTGAAGCATCTCTGATATGATACGGTACAGTATCAATCCATCTCTGCACCAGTCATCTTAAGATGCCCAAATCGAACTGCACTAAGATTCAAACTCTAGTCAGCATGCAGGCAATCACATTGTTCGGAGTAACTCTTATCAAGAAAGGGTTCTGCTTTGCTCTCCTCTGCACCGGCCTTCCCACCCCAAGTCCTGTGATTCGTGAATCAGGGTGAGCGAATGAGGCGCCAACAGGCACCCACAGCAGGTGCCACCCACATCCAGGGTCACAGCACAGCAGCACTCTGGACTGGCGGCTGTAATGAGTGCCCAATCAAGTGCCCATCTGACCACCTGCCCCACCTGCCCCACCCGCCCCATCCCCTCTCCCTGCCCCGCCTGCTGCACCCGCTCCACCTGCCCCTGCCCCCTTCCCTGCCCCTCCACCCCCTCCTCCCTTCCCACGCCCTGCTGCCGCTGCTCCCCCTCCCCTGCCTGCCCCTGCTGCCCCACCCACTCCCCTTCCTGCTCCTTTCCCCCCTCCCTTGCCACCTCCCTTTCCACCTCCTTTGCCCCCTCCCCCTCCGCCCTTCTTCCCCTCCCCTTTCTTTCCCTTCCCAGTACCACCACCAGCAGCACCTTTCACCTCCCCTCCCCCTGCTACTGCCCCCCCTGCTGCCACACTGCTAGCCACAGCAGACGCAGCGCCAGCACCAATACCAGCAGCACCCGCACCAGCAGCACCAACACTCCCGGCACTACCACCAGCAGAAACGCTCATCGTCGAGCCCCTGCCCTTCCCCACTACCCCACCCACACCGCCGCCCATGCCCCCACCAAACCCCCCATCTCCCGCTCCTTCCCCCCCAGCCCCTGCACCAGGCCCACCCATACCTCCCATGCCCTGCCTGCCCCCCATACCCATCTCCGCACCCCCATGCTGCGGCCCTGCACCCCCCCAGGAAGGGACTCCAGATGCAGGGATGGACAGGGGTGGCACTCTAGCTGCTGCTGCCGCTGCTGCTGGCCCTGCCAGCGGACCAGAGGCAGGGGATACGGTGGGGGAGGGGAAGGCGAGCGAGTGAGGGAGTGAGGGCGGGTTGCCTGAGGAGGGGAGGCGGAGGGCAGAGAGCGTGGGAGTGAGCGGGGGAGGCATGGTGTGCGGGTGGGAGGAGGGCGAGGAGGGAACGTTGGAGTAGAGAGAGGAGTGAGGGAGAGGAGGGGAGGCCCCGCCACTGGCGGTGGCAGCTGCGCCCATTGCAGCAGAGGCGGGCGGAGGGGGGTTGTTGAAGGGAGGGGAGGAGAGGTGCCTTGGGTCCGACACACTCAGCAGCAGAGAGCGGCGAGGGGCCTGCTGGTTCTGCTGCTGCTGCACTCCCTGCTGCCGCTGTTGTTGTTGCTGCAGTTGCTGCTGCTGTTGCTGCAGGTGTTGCTGTTGCTGCTGCTGCTGCTGTTGTTGCTGTTGCTGTTGCTGTTGTTGTTGTTGTTGCTGTTGCTGTTGCTGTTGCTGCTGTTGCTGTTGAATCTGCTGCAACCGCTTTTGTTGCTGCTGCTGCCGGCGCCGTCGCTGCTGCTGTTGCTGCTGCTGCTTCCGCTGGGCGGCAGAGAGGGGGGAAGCAGACGGGCCACTGCCGGCCGTGTCAGCAGGAGTGCCGCTGAGCGAAGATGACGACACGTTGGGGGAACTCTGCTGCTGCTGCTGCTGCTGCTGCTGTTGCTGTTGCTGTTGCTGTTGCTGTTGCTGCTGTGATTGATGCTGCTGTTGCTGTTGCTGTTGCTGTTGCTGCTGCGATTGATGCTGCTGTTGCTGTTGCTGTTGCTGTTGCTGTTGCTGCTGCTGTTGCTGTTGCTGTTGCTGCTGCGATTGATGCTGCTGTTGCTGCTGCTGTTGCTGTTGCTGCTGCAGGTACTGCTGCTGTTGGTGCAGCAGCAGCTGTTGCTGCTGGAACGTGGAGGCACCAAGGGGACTGTCGGAGGATGCCAAAGAACCCGACACATGCAACCCCATGCCGCCCTGCCCCATGCCGCCCTGCCCCGAGTTGCCTTGCCCCATGCGGCCTTGCATCCCTCCTCCTCCCATCCCTCCTCCTCCCATCCCTCCTCCTCCCATCCCTCCTCCTCCCATCCCTCCTCCTCCCATCCCGCCTCCTCCCATCCCCCCTCCTCCCATCCCTACTCCTCCTCCCATCCCTCCTCCTCCCATCCCTCCTCCTCCCATCCCCCCTCCTCCCATCCCTCCTCCTCCCATCCCTCCTCCTCCCGTCCCTCCTCCCCCCCCTCCCATCCCTCCCCCCCCTCCTCCTCCTCCTCCTCCTCCTCCTCCTCCTCCTCCTCCTCCTCCTCCTCCTCCTCCTCCTCCTCCTCCTCCTCTCATCCCTCCTCCTCCCACCCCTCCTGCTCCTCCCATCCCTCCTCCTCCCATCCCTCCTCCTCCCATCCCTCCTGCTCCTCCCATCCCTCCTTCTCCCATCCCTCCTCCTCCCATCCCTCCTCCCATCCCTCCTAACCCATCTATCCCATCGACTACCATTTCCCCCCCTCCCCCACTTGTCCTCCTTATTGCTCCACCCATTCCGTCTACTCCCCCTACAAGTGCCCCCATGCCTTCCGCCATGCCCATGTTCATCCCCCCCCCTGGCCCCATTCCCCCGCCTGCCCCCATCCCCCCACCCGCCCCCATGCCAGCACCCCCAGTGAGGCCCCCAGCTGCTGCAGCCGCCACAGCTGCTGCCGCTGCTGCCAGCGCTGCCGCCACCGACTCACTCCCCCCCATCTCCCCCATCCCACTCATTCCCCCCATTCCCCCCATGCCCTCCATACCCCCTACAGCCCCAAAACCCCCTATTCCCCCCATCCCCCCCACCGCACTCATCCCCCCGAGTCCAGCCATCGCACCTGCCCCCCCCAACCCATCCATTCCTCCACCAACCATGCCCCCACCACTGCCCATGCCTCCCATCCCTCCCATCCCCCCCATGCCTCCCACGGCTCCCATGGCCCCCATGCCACCCAGCCCAGCCATATCCGTGGGTGCAGCAGTGGGGGCGTGGGGCAGGCCGAGGGACGCAGCAAAGGCAGCCACGGCTGCTGGCGGTAGGGGCGGGCGCGTGGGCTGTGAGGGGCAGCGGAGAAACGATGCCAGTGATGCTGGTGTGCTGAGAGGGGACACGGGAGAGAGAGCAGGGGAGGTGGGGGGGTAAGGCGAGCAGTGAAGGGAAGTGCAGCAGCGCCACTAGTGACACTGGCATGCTGAGAGGGGGAGGGCATGGGGCGGGTATTTGAGAATTTTCAACAATCGCTCAGGAGGGCATGGGGCGGGGTGGGGCACGGAAGCGGTGTGAGGTGTGGATCAAGGTTGAGAGAGCGGGGCTTTCTAGAGATTTGGCAGAAAGATGAGTGGTGCGGAGAGCAGCAAACAGATGGACAGTGGACAGAGGGAGCGGAAGAGCACGATACGAGCACACCGCATGCACGGCATACAAGATAGGAGCATATCGTTCAGAGCATACCCCGTAAGAGCATACCCGATAAGAGGATCAGCCCCGTACAGCATCATCTCCGCTGCTGCCATCTGCATCGCCTGCTGCCGCTGCTCCTCCGCCTCCCCCTCCCCACCCACGCCATCCCCCTCCCCTTCCATCACAGCCCCGTCCCCCACACTCCCCACTCCCCCCACGCCTCCCTCCACGCTCCCCACACCCCCCATGCCCGTGGCAGCGAGGTGCAGCAGGTCACAGCGGTCCAGGCAGGCCCTCAGGGAGCGACCCATGCGGGAGAGGCGGTGGGAGAGGGCGTCTGTGAGCACAGACAGGGCGCTGTCCGTTGCGCCCTCACACCCCAACTGCTGCAGCATCCCCGCCACACACGCCTTAAGCCGCGCCCTCGCCCGCTCCTCTCCCTGTCCCTCCTGCTCTTCCTCCTGCTGCTGCTGCTGCTCCTCCTGTTGCTGCTGATCCGCCCGTTTCTGCACTCCTGCTTTTCTCCCCCAACCTCCACCGCCACCCCCACGCCCACCCGCTCCCCCACGCCCGCCCCCCTGCATGCGCCAGGGGCAGTGGAGGTGCCAGGGCGGGCGGGCAGAGGCTACCACAGGGTCGGGCACGGCATTAGCCAATGCATCCATGTCCCAGTCATCCGGGCACACGCCTTCTCTCTCCCTCTCCTTCTCCCTCTCCCATGCACCCTCCGCTTCACCGTCCCCCTCTCCCTCCTCTCCTTCCACTCCTCCCTCCCTCCGCTCATTCTTCCTCTGCTGCTGCCGCTGCTGCTGCTGAATGAGACGAGCCATGCCGGCCGCGGTGCGCACCAGTGCCGCCCGCTCGCGGAAGGGCTTGGAGGAGTGCTTGGCGCGCTTCACTGCATGAATCAGCCGCCACTGCCGCCGCCGCCGCCGCCTCTCCTCCCGCCTCCCCGCCTCCCCCTCCCCAGCCCCCCCGTCCCCGCCGCCCCACTCCCCTTCCCCGTTCCCCTATGCTTCCCCCTCTCCCCCGAGAGAGGGGAAGGCGGGGGAAGAGGGGGGGGGCGGGTCAGCGTCCTGGGATGCGGTGTGAGGTGCGCCCAAACCCACCCTGGCGCAATATGGGCGGAGCAGGAAGGGGAAAGAGGACAGTGGGGGTGGGGGGAATGGGGGAGGGAGAGTTGAGAGCTATGGCCATGTGGTGCGATGTGGGTGGCACCGATGGCAAAGGAGGGCATGGCATAACAGGGTTGAGAGCTAAAGGCGTGGGATGGAAGTGGCAGGTGGCAGCATGGCATGGCAAATGCGAGCAGTGGCATGGGGCGGCACAGCAGCACAGCAGCAGCACCTGCGGATGATGGCAGCGCTGAGAGGGCCCTCCTGGTGGCGGATGGCGCGCAGCACAGCCATGCAGTGGGCGGACGGCTGGGCGGCCGACAGCATGGCATGCCATTCGTCCACGTCATCATCCAGGCACGGGTACACGTCATCATCTACTGATGCGTACACGTCATCGTCCATACGCGCCAACCCGCCCTCCGCCGTCTCCCCCCAAGCCTCCCCCTGCGCCTTTCCGCACGCCTCCCCCACGGCGCGGCCCAGCAGTAGCGAGCGCGCGCGCAGCTGCACGCGGAGCATGGCGGGGGAGACATCCGCGCCTGCGGGGAACACAGGGACGCGCATGGCGGAGGCGAGAAAACGGGGAAGGGATTGGGTGGCGGGTGGGAGGAGATAAGATGGCGCGTTTCTGAGTGGGGAAGGCAAGAAATGGCGGCGGTTTGGGAGCGCGGAATGCAGGCAACGGCGACGCGACCTGAGCGAGAGGTGAGGAGGAGGGCACAAAAGCGCACGCAGCGCGCACGACCCCTCACGCGAGAGTGCGTCTATGCTTTGAGACAACGCAACACGCGTGCGCGCCCCCTCACGCTCCCGCGCATTCCCCCGCACTCACCCGCGCCAGCGGCGAACTCCGCCCATGTGCCTGGGTCGCGCAGCCACGGCGCAAGCAGCGCGTGATCCGCTTCCCCCAGCCACTCACGCCACACGCCCCTCGCCTCCAAGCCAATAGCCACGCCGTAATCGAAGGCCATTGCAGAGGGTTGCGGTCAGTCAGGTACTGATTGCGGATGTGCGGAACGACATTCGACGTGCTTTTATCAAGGGTGAATGATGAAACCCTCGAGTAATGCTAGTATCAGCAAAGTTGGAGAATAGGTGACAGCTTCAGCATTTCCATCCGTCGATTAGTTCTCACACTCCTACCGCGCAGCGACCGATACTGGAAGTGACGTTTTTTGTCAGGCTGATGAGTCACGGTCGCAAAAGCGGATGCAACAAAAAGAGCATCCAAATATGAAAACGGGGTACTGCGAGAATCGAACTCGCGGCCTCTCGCACCCAAAGCGAGAATCATACCACTAGACCAAGCACCCAGATGACATCTTGAAAGACAGTTTGTTTTTAAATAATACAAAATCTGTCTTTTTTTACCAATAAAAGAAGACAGCTTTTGTTGGCCCCAAGCTCCCTCAGGAGGTCATTTTTAACCGATTAGGCTGTGGTTCAAAAGGTTACAAGAGCAAACCGTATCAAGAGTGCGTGGTGTCATACCCCAAACGTTTTCTGGACAAGTGTAACTCGACCCATCCAAGAATACCATGTGCGAGAGAGTCACCCCATGACGAAGACAACTGCCTCCCAGAATCGAAATTCCCTTTTTTTGACCAATCAGGCATGAGAGTGGCATCACACCAATCAGCTGAGCCACAGCAACCACGAGGTGGGGCTGGCTACAGGTCAGCGGTGCTGGCGTGGGCGTGGGGGTCATCCGCTGACACCCAAGCTCGACCCATCGATGACGTAAACCCCACAGTCAGGTTTGGCGTTTCGTAGGGTTACCACCTGCTGTGCTATGTTCGCGGTATTAGCAGGTCGAGCTCTCGTTTTTAGGCGAGCTCAATGGGTGATGAGCACGTGGCGGATGAGGAATGTCAGACGCTTGTCCCTCCCACCATGATGTTGGATGGATGGAAAAGTGACGGTGTGCGCTACGATTGGTTAGCGCAAACAAGCCTGAATCGGTTCCGATTGGTCAGTGAAGCTTGTAACCGAGACTGATGCAATCGGCGTCCGTTCACCCTCGATTCTGGTTCGCTGGTGGCATACTGAAGGCGTGCAGCTGGTGGAGCTCCAGGGAGGGTCACTCATCACATGTGGAAGACATTTCTGGCTGGAAATGTGATGTTGGTGGAGAGTGCCAAAGGTTTGTATTACGTTTCGGCACGGTTTGTCAAGGTCACAGGATCATTGCACAGATTCCACACCACATGGCGGTTTGATTTGAGGTTGTGAAGAAAACATGGCGTCACTCTGCGATTACACATCCATGAATCACTCGAAAGAGCTGCTTGTGTGACGTGGCGTAGTTTATCTGCTCCAAGCACTAGGCACTAAGTCCAAGTGGGTAGGCGGCTCCACTGACTCCTCTTATCCACCGATAGAAATAGCTTCCTCAGAAGCCCAGCAGCCTTTGGACTGGACGTGGCACGCTAACTCGCTCATTCTGTTCAGTTGTGTCGGCTGTACACTCAAGCCTCCGGCTCCTGTTAGCCTCTGTAAATATCTCCGTTACAGGTTGACCATTCCACACTCTAACGAATCGTAGCCTCGACTCGTGATAGCTATACACTCAGCCGACAGTGAAGTAGTGCGCGTTACTACTCCGCTGGGGTACAGCCACGCGGGCTGCATGCCACGACCACGACCGCGCGTAGCAGCGTCAGCGTCGGCGGTATCATGAGGCGCGGGGACGGGCGCGCAGCGGGCACGTCCCCCCAGCAGGTGCAGAACGCGCACAAGGGGCGCAGCCTGCCGAGCGTGCGGAGTGTGTCGGCGGGGCTGCTGCCGTCGTTCCGCGCCATCTCCAGCTACCTCCGCCATGTCTCCTCCTCCGCCGACTCCCTCGTCGCCTCCGCTGTCCGCTCCGCCTCCGCGTCGGTCGCGGCGGCCATGGCGCCCGGCGACGACAGCCAGAACAAGGAGCAGGTACGCGCCGATGCGTGGTGAAAACAACGAAAAAAAAATAAGAAAATTAACGAAGAATGAAAGGAAATATAATCTCGGCGTACAAACGGGTCGAAACGGACAGCGCACGAGTTTCTTTTAACGTCTCGGCTTGGTATTCGATCAATTGCTCGAACTCTTTCGGAAGAAATCGCCTCTGTTGCCAAGTGGGGTGTGTCCTTCCGCTGTCCCGCCACGCCGCAGGTCACATGGGCGGGTTTCGGGTGGTTGGAGCAGGGGTCCTCCCGCGGCGCGTCCGTGCCCGTGTCCGGCACGCGCCACGTGCTCCTCGTGGCGTACACCACGGGCTTCCACGTGTGGGACGTGAGCCACCCACACGCCGTGCAAGAGCTCGTCTCGCGACGCGACGGCCCGGCGGACTCGTTGCATCCCATCCCTTACGTCTCTAGAACCCCCCCGGATAGTCCGCTCCGCGACGCGCATCCCGTGCTCTGCGTCGTGTGCCCCGCTGCCGTCGCGCCTCCGCCGTTCTCGGCCGCAGCCTTGGGATCTCCGAGCTTGTCCGCCCAATTTCCGTACCTGGACGACGATGAACCGTACGCTGACGTGGCGGACGGGACAGACGAGCCGTACGCGTGCGGAGATGAAACGGGTGGCGAGCAGAGCGCGCTGCGGTTCTACTCGATGCGGAGCGGTTCGTATGTGCACTCGATTACAGTGGCGGGGCGGGTGATGGGCGTGAGGAGCAACCGCAGCGTGCTGGCAGTGGCTGTCACGGAACAGGTGAGTGGCGGCGGCTCATCTATCACTTTCCCCCCTCGTTTTCACTGCTTCACATCCCCCGTCCTCCTTCTCCACTCCCCCCCCTCGTCTTTTGCCCCATTCTTCCCCTTCTCCCACCCGCCTCAACCCCTCCCCTCCCCCCTCCTCCTCTTCCCCCTAACCCCAGGTGTATATATACGATTTGCCATCACTGCGCACGGCATTCAGTGTGCTCACGCACCCGCACCCCCTGCCCTCCGCCCTCCCCGGCATCGCCCGCACGTCCCCCCACGGCGCCCTCGCCCTGGGCGCGCGCTGGCTCGCCTACCCCTCCAACCAGCCCCTCGCCCCCCCCGCCTCCGCCCCCCTCCCCTCCTCCGCCTCCTCCTCCGCGGCTGCTGCTGCTGCAGCGGGGGCGGGGGCGGCGCTGGTGGCGCATTATGCCAAGGAGTCAGGGAAGCAGCTGGCAGGGGGGATAGCCGTCCTGGGGGACCTGGGGGTGCGGGCGGTCGGCAAGTATTGGACAGACATGGTGGCGGAGTCCGCCGGTGGCTCAGGTGTTTCCAGCGCGTCAGGTGCTTCAGGTGTTGCGGCAGGGTTGGGATCCCCCTGGAGCAGCAGGAGCCCGGAGCTCATGTTTGCCCCTGACTCACCACACGCATTCGTCTCTGGAGCGTCAGTAGTATCGGGAGCATCGGTATCGGGGTGGTCAATGGATGGGTATGCGGACGCGAGTCCCAGGGCAGCAGCACTGCAGCACTCTCCTTCACCACCGCACCTCCCACCTGCCGACCCCGTCCATGCCGGCAACGTGAGTGCTGTCGCCCGACCCTCTTTTTCCCCCTCACATGCCACCCCACCCCACACTCCCTCCCCACTCACATGACATGTGCGAGCAGGAAACGGCTTCTCACTCACCTCATAATCCGCATTTGCCACCGCATCCCTTTTCCTCCACCCCACCCACCCTCACTCGTCCCACACCACACATGGCATATGCATGTGTGTGTGTGTGTGCATGTGTGTGTGTGTGTGTGTGTGTGTGTGTGTGTGTGTGTGCATGAGAGCAGGTGATGGTGCGGGACGTGGCCACGCGGGCAGTGATAGCGCATTTCAAGGCGCATGGCAGCGCCATCGCACTCCTTGCGTTTGACAGCTCGGGCACGCTGCTGCTCTCCGCCTCACACGCCGGCCACTCCCTCAACGTCTTCCGCCTCACCCCTGCCCCCTCGCCCCTCCACTCCCCTGCCGCCAACGCACCCCTCCTCGACTCACACGCCCAGGTACTCACTCCCATGCCGCCTCACTGCCTCTCACTCACCCTGTGCTCCCCATGCTGCTGAGTGCTCTGCTTGCGCTCGTACATCCTGTCACGCTGCTGAGTGCTCTGCTAGCCGTGGCGTTGTCCTCCTTTTTGTTCGATGCGTGCGTAACTCTAGCTCCTACTTTTGCCCGTTTGCGTTTTTCCTTTCCCTTTCATCCGTCTCTTCTCTGCTACCCGTCCTTCCCTTCCCCGCTGCAGTCGCCACCAGACGGCTGCTCCTATGTGCATTTGTACAGGCTTCACCGCGGCCTCACTAACGCTGTAAGGGAGCACTCAATGCTGAGTACACACCATCCCCCTGTATGCATGCATGGTTACAGGTTTTTTACTCCATGCCTTGTGCATCAGACTCCTCCTCCGCATCACTCCTCATTCGCACCATCCTCCTTACGCCCCCTTCTCCCTGCCGCTGCACGCTTACCTGCCCGCCCACCTGACCTCCTGCCCGAATGCATGTCTGCCTGTCTGCCTGCCCGTCTTCCCACCCAACCGCCCGCCCCGCATGTGTGACTCACAGGTGATACAGAGCGCTACCGTTTCACATGATGGCAGGTGGGTGGCGGTGTCATCAGTGCGCGGCACCACACACCTCTTCGCCATCTCCCCTTTCGGAGGCCCCGTAGGCCCTGCCACACACCTCCCCTCCGCGCCCTCGCCCACGCTCCTCCACCCTGTATATACCCACAACCCCTCCCTCCTCCCCCCACCCCCCCCGCGCCCCTGGTGGTCCGCGCACGCCCCCCTGCGCGCGTCCCCCGCGCCCCCGCGCGCCCCCCTACGCATCCCTGCGCCAGTGGCGCTGGCATCAGTGGGGCGCATTCGGAATGCCAACAGTGGGTGGCGGGGGAACGTTACAGGCGTGGCGGCAGCAGCTGCTGGGTTGGGGGGAGAGATTCCAGGCGCCGTTGCTGCTGCTTTCAACTTTGGGGGGGTGGCAGGTGCTGGGGGTTTTGGGATGATGGGAGGGAGTGGGGTTGTTCGGCACCAGCAGCACCAGCAGCAGCGGCAGCAGCAGGTAGCTTCCGGGCAGTTTTTCGGGCAGCCGGACTGGGCTCCGCAGCCAATAGCGGAGCAGCTGTGGGTGTTTTCCCCCTTGGGGCACCTGATACGCTACCACCTCACTCCCTTCGCCGCTGCTGCTGACCCCTCCTCCTCGTCCTCCTCCCCCTCTCACACCCACAGCATCCCCATGCCTGCTCCCCATGCATACACGCACCACCAGCAGTACACCAGCCACACATATGACCCCAGAGGCATGTACATGCCATCCCACGTCACTGTCAGAGAAGCAGGCATGCACCCCAGCATAGGTGAAATGGGTTCCTCCCCCGGGTTTCCCCCATATTCCCCCTTCCCCCCCGCGCCCCCCATGGCCCAGTCCGACTCGTCAGTGCAGGGAGGGCGCTCCTTTGAGCGCCTGCCCTCTCTCCCCACTCTCGCGCTGCGCTCTGCTGCCGCTGCTGCGGGGGTGAGGGGCATGGGGGGAATGGGGGGCGCGGGCGCAGGGGGGGAGGTGGTGGTGAGGGTGGCGGCAGAGGCGAGTGAGGTGTGGGACGTGTGCCGCCGCGTGAGCTGGAGCGACCGTGACGACCCCATTCCCGTTGACAGCTCGTGGGTTGACGGCCACGGTGCCAGCACTGATGCTTCTGCTGCTGGCGGTGCTGGTTCTGCTGCTGGCGGTGCTGGTTCTGCTGCTGGAGCTGGAGCTGCTGCGGATGTTGCGTCCTCAGCGTCAGGGGAGGCAGGGCAGGGAGCTGGGGAGGGTGCGAGGCAGAGGGCGGCAGAGGAGGAGCAGCAGAGGGCGTATCTGATGCACGCGGAGGTGCAGCTGTCCACCAGCGGAGCCACGCCCCTGTGGGCTCGCTCCTATGTGAGTACTATTCGTCTGTCTTCTCTGCAGCTCTGCTCTCGTGCAGATTTTTCCAGTGAGATGTTGTTGCAAACGGTTAGAAGCGGTTTGAATGTAGCCACGAGGGTTTGATTGCGCAGCGCTGTTCTCCACAACCTCCCTGGTTTTCTTGCGCCAACCATGCTAAGTGTGGCTCCATGTGTGACAACTGAACAATCTTTTTCCATCCTGCCTGTTACTGCGTGCTGCTGGGAATGCTTGGTGCCCTGCAGGTGCAGCTACAGCCAGAGGACCCACCAGTTGAGCTCCAGTTGCTGCAGAAGCAGCATGAGCAGCAGCAGCAGCAGCAGGTGGTGCATGGGGGACAGCAGGGATGGGGAGGCGGCCAGCAGCAGCAGCAGCAGCAGCACGCGTATCACACGCATGAAGGCATCGGCCCACAGACACAGCCGCACATGGGAGTGCACGTGGGAGTGCACATGGGAGTGGAGAAAGGCGGTGCTGCCGTGCATGTTCCCAGACGCACCTCCGCCCTGGGTGGCCTGCTCCGCCACTCTGCCACCACCGCTACTGCTGCTGGTGTTGCTGCTCCGCGGCTCTCACATTCACTCTCACCCTCTCCTGCAACCACAGCCACAGCTGCTCCTCTCGCAGCAGGAGGGATAGCAGTGTGTGAAGCAGGAGTGCAAGGGAACGAGGGATTGCAGGGAGTAGAGGCCATGCACGGGAGGCAAGTAGGGCTACCTGGAGATTTCCCAGGTACTGCTACTGCTCCTGGCCCCCTGGGCAGTATTAGCGGCAGCAGCAGCAATGGGGTGGGCGCAGGGAGCAGGGCGAGGGGGCAGGTAGCACAGGAGGCGCGGACGGGTCTGGGCGTGGCGCTGGAGCAGCCCATGGGGGGCTGCAGAGGGCGTCAGCAATTGGGGGAGGTGAGGGGCGGTGGGGGAAGGCAGGAAGGGGTTGCTGGGGAGTGGATGGCGGTGGAGCAGGGGGGAACAGTAGCAGCAGCAGGAGGGGAAGTAGGGATGGGGGTTGTGATTGGTGTGGGTGGAGGGATGTTGGGTGCTGTGGATGAGGAGGGGGGCATGGCAAATGACGCTGATTGGAGGGCAGACAGCTGGGGGGCTGAAGGGGGGCCCGGCAGTCAAGCAACTGGATTATCGGTGCCTGGACCCAGGGCGATAGAGGAAGCAAGGGAGGAGGAGCGCGAAGAGGAGCACATGGGGTTTGACATGAGTGGGAGGCGGGTCGGCGAGAGAGGCGAGACGGAGGGAGTTTTTGCATTCGACGACCCGTGGCTGGCTGCCCAAACGCACACTCTAGGTGAGTGACCCGCCCTCCCTCCTGCCCACCCTGCCCCTTCGTCTCACTTAGCCTCTCCCAACCTCTCCATTTTCCTCGCTGTCTGTCTCTCCACCACCTGTTGGTGTGCATGAATTCATTGAATCTGGACAAGGCCGGCACCAAGAGGCTGTGTGCTGTCCTGCAGGATGCTAATCCACGCACGCAAGGACGTCACAGTGCCATGCAGCCCAGCCCAGCCCAGCCCAAGCGAAGCCAAGCTATCTGCGCTCATGCTTCTCTGCACACAAGGCTCATAGTGTAGCCCGGGGTTAGCTTAGCACGGTTGCCTAGGTACAAGCCATTTCTTTACAAGCGCATCTTGCAAGCCGTACGCCCCAAGCTCTGACCGATGATCTTCCTGGGAGGGAAGGGCTTGTGGGGAGGGTTAGTGCTGGGTCAAGGAGCGGCAGCAGGGATTTGGAAGTGGAGGCAGCAGCAGCAGGAGTTGGGCGTGCAGGCTTTCTGTAGGGTAGACAACTTCTAGGTGACCGTTGACACTGACTGATGTAGCCTGCCTTGTATTGGAACCCCCATTGTACACTCTATAACGAGTATGAAGGTCAGGCTATTTTCATGTACCTCTTCTCGTTCTCCTGTCTTTCTCTCCTCTCTCTCTCTCCTGCTTCACTGCCGATGAGGTAAGCTGCAGCTGTGATGCTTTTGCCAACTCTCATAATCACCCCCCCTCCCTCCTCCGTCCTGTATCACCCCCGTCCCACCCCTCTGTCCCATTCTCCTGTGCTCTGTCTTGTGCTCCCGTGTTCTGTCGTGCCTCGTGCTCCCACCCCCCCCTCCACCGTGCCATCCCCTAGCCCCTGCCTCTTTGTCTCGCAGCAACACCTCTGGCTCCTCCCCAGATGCTCCCTCACCACCCCGCCCCACCCACCCACACCGCCCCACCTCCTCCCACTTCCTCGCCTCCTCTACCCTCCATTTATCATCATCACCAGCATCACCAGCATCCCCATCAGCAGCAGCTGCACCAGCAGCACCATCACCAGGAGAAGCACCAGCAGCACCAGCACCACCAGTAGCAGCACCAGCAAGAGGTGCCTTATCCCCCTCCTCCCAGCCCCTGGGGGCCCATTCCCAACCCCTGCCCTCCCGCCCATCTGCCCTCTCCCCCACTATGAGCCTCCTCTCAAACCCCCAGCACCACTCACCGCCCCCCTGTACCCCCGAGGTCCACCCTCAGCCGTGTGCCCACCCATCCCCCCATGCACCATTGTCTCCCCCTCCTCCTCGTCCGCCCCCACCTGCTCCCCCCACTCATGCTCCTGGGGACTCCTTTCCCAGCAGCATCTGTGGCTGCCTCGTACGTGGCAGCGAGGGGGAGATGGAAGGCGAAGGAGGGGCTGACGAGGGCGAGCAGAATTGGGAGGAGCAGGAGGAGAGGGTGCAGGAGCAACGAGCAGGGGAGGAGCAGGTGGGGAAGGAACGAGTGGTGGTAGAAGAGGTGGGGGGGTTAGGGCAGCAGAAGCAGCAGGGGCAGGAGGGGCAGAAAAAGCAGCTGGAGCAGCAGGAGCAGGAGTGTGGCAGGGAGCATGGGCAAAAGGAGGTAGAGCAACAGCAGGCCGTGGCGGATGGGGGCCTAAGGGAGGTAGAAGAGGTGTCAGAAACAGTGCCAGCGTCAGAAGCAGCCTTAGAAGCGGTGTCAGAAGTGGTGTCAGTGTCAGAAGAGGTGTCAGAAGAGGTGTCAGAAGAGGTGTCAGAAGTAGTGGTGGTGGAGGGGGTGTTGAGCGTAGAAGTGGAGAGAGATGAGGATACGGGAATTGCAGTGTGTAGCTCCGGCGTGAAAGGGTCTGCAGAGTGCGGGGTGAGTGGGGTGGGGGAGATGGATCAGGTGGTTGCTGGGGTGAAGGATGAGGGAGATGGAGAGGACGAGAGGGGGAGGAGAGGCGGCTGTGGAGGTTCAGTGGTTTATACGGGACAAGCAGAGCGTGAGGAGAGAGGGACGGTGGTGTGTCAAGGAAATGCAGGTTCGAGGCAGGTGGAGGGGAGGGAGCAGGAGGTGGAGCAGCATGAGACGGAAAGGCAGGAGAAAGAAGATGCAGAGATGCAAGGCAGCAGCAGGAGTGGTGGGAGCGAGGACAGCAATGGTGGCAGTGCTGGCGTTGCTGGAAGTGGTGACGACAGCAGTGGAGAAGGCATTGGGGATGCAGCAATAGCCGAACCTGTCTCAGATGCTTCACCTCCCGAACCTCTCCCAGCTGCTTTACCTGACGAACCTCCCCCAGCTGCATCACTTGCCGAACCTGATTCAGCTGCTTCACCTGCCGAATCTCTCTTAGCTGCGTCACCTGCCATACCTGTCTCAGCGTCACCTGCCATACCTGTCTCAGCGTCACCTGCCATACCCGGCTCCTCCGCATCCCCTGCCACACGTGTGTCAGCTGGTTACAGAGGCACTGCGAGCAGTGGTGGTGAGGCGTGCGCAGCAGGTGCAGGGGTGAGCGTGGAGAAGGATGGAGCAGAAATGGGAGGGAGTGAGCACGGAGGGCAGGTAGGAAACAACCACAGGGGTCCTCGTGTGGTGGCTATTACAAGTGGTGGCATCAAGGCAGCTAGTGCTGCTAGCAGCAACAGCTTCAGTGGCAGCGATGCTGGTGGTGGTGGTGCTGGCAGTGGCAAGGTAGCAGTGACAGCAGCAGCTGAGGTGCCAACAGTGCGAGCAAGGAAGGGGAAGAAGAAGAAGAAAGGTCTCGTGGTATCAGTTGCTGCCGCACCACCACCACCACCACCACCAGCAGCGCCACAACAAGCAGTACAGGCGGCCATCAAGTCGGTTCCCAGCTCCGAGTCTTTGAATGGCTGGGAGCTCTGACTGCTGGCACGCTTGTAAACTGTTGCTGCTGCCCTTGCAGAGAGGGCGAGCACTCACTGGCTTGGGCTGTTGTCAGGGTGGGACACGCAACCCGCTCCCTTTCTCCGGGCCTGCTGCACCCAGCACAGCCTCACTGCGGCACAGGCTTGGTACCTTACCATAAACGCTTGGTATGGTATAGGTTTTACCATACTTTCATTATACCGTACTATGTACATTGATGGACTATACATGTATTATAGTGTCTCTGAGCACGGAGCATGTGCGAGTCCGTCGTCATCCCAGCCATGCCACGCCATTTCATGCTACGAGTGCAGCATATTTCGCACTGCCTACGTGCGGTAGAACATTTCGCTCCTCATCCTCGCTTCACGCCTCCTCACTCTCCACTCCTCCACACTCTCAATCCTCACTCCTGCTCACGCCTCCTTGCTCCTACCACCTAGTCACTCCTCCTTCCTCGCGCGAAAGAATAGCGCAGTCACGGGCGTCCCCAACCCAAACTGTTGTGCAAACTGGCGGGTCTTGAAGCCCTTGACCGCAGCAGGTGTGTCGGTGGTGAGGCGGTGCGGCTGGCGGAAGAGAGAGAGCACGTAGCGGTGCACGCCCGTGGGCGGGGAGGGGCCCTTGTAGGCCATCACTAAGTCTCCTGCGCTGCTGTGTGGGAGCGTTGTTGCGCCTGGTATGTTCACCACTAGCCTGCACGCATGCACACACACAGGGGAAGGACTTGGTGTTATAACGAATGAGGTTACTTGGTAGTGTACGGATGCATGTGATAGTATGGGCTGCAATGGCAAGGCATGTGCAGAACAGTGGCCGACTTGCATGCTGTCCCTGCTCCCACCTCCCCAGCAATCAATCCCCCCAGTCTTCTGTACTCCCCTCGACCCCACTTCCCTCAGCCACTCCCCCCTCCCCTCCCCTCCCCTCGCTCTTCCTCTCCTTCCCCCCAGTCTCACCAGTGCAACCACTCGGCCGCCACGGGGTTGTCTGGGCTGGGCGCGTCTGGGTCCGACATTACCTGGGGGAAGGGGAAAGATGGGAGAGGGGAGGCGGGACGAAGGGGGGGAAGAGGAGGAGCGGGGGAAGGTGTTATGGAAGGAGTGGCAAGAAGGGGGGCGCGGAAGCTATCGTGTGCGCTCATGGGCTGGGCGCGTCTGGGTCTGACATTACCTGGGGTGAGGGGGGAAGCAAGGGGAGGGGATGTGAAGCGTTGGGGAGAACACGGATGACGGAATGAGTGGGAAGTGATGGGGAGGCATGGGGAGGGGGCTGTTTAGTGCGGCTTTGCAGTAAGGTGTGTTGGCGTTGATTCATGAGTGAGGCGTTGACTGGCGTTGACCGGCGTTGACTCACGAGTGTGTAGAGGTCCCCGTTCTCGTGTCGCCCCGCCAGCTCGACGTATGGCGCTTCTGCTGCCTCGCTGGGCGTTAGCTCGTCACCGTTTCGCACCTCCCTGCCACCGTACTTCACCTGCCAACACCACGCGTATTATGAGGTCAGAAGGCCAGCTTCAACGCCGTCAATCCTGGCTTGCTCTGCGACAGCTCTGCCCGACGCGATACCTTGATGTCGAGCGACGGCACAAAGTCGTCGAGCACGTCGCCAATCACCTTGCCCTTCGCAAGCGCCTCGTGCGACGCTTCCATGGCTGCCTGCTGCCGTGCGCGCGCGGCTCGGAAACAGGTGAAAGCTGGGAGAAGCGCGAAATTTAGAACTCTTTAAACTCAGTGATGCGGAATATAGAACCCAAGAGGAAATGCAAGGACGAAAGAGAGGTAAGGGGAAACGGAAACTAGAATCAGTGAGGTGCGGAGGGAGGGGCGGGGAGCACGCAGCGTGGGACAACGCGAAGCAAGAAGCTGACACGGGCGACGCGAGGAGGAGGCAAATAGCAGTTGGTGATGAATTCCGGGCCATGCAGCGACTACATGGGAGGGAACCAAGAATCAAGAATGGGGATACACTTGTGAGGTTGACATTTATCCGCTACTGAGTTCCTATTTGAGGTGGGGTTTGGCAATGTGAAATGACGCACTCAAACTATAATAAAACATACAAATTACGTTGGATTTTACCATGGATTACGTTTCTAAATCTGCTGCTACGTCGCTCAGGACTTGCTTGAATATGCGCACTCCCTGCACCTCATAACAAAACCACGGCCAGAAATCAGTAAAAGCAGGCGTAGGAAACAAGAGATGTCAAAGGAAGAGGAACCAAAGTGTGACAAACCTGGAGGGCAAAGATGACGTCGGCGGCACTGGCTTTGAGCATTACTTTGCATTTAGCTTGGGACCGTGCAGCGTTCCTTCCCCCACCCACTACTTGCAACAGAGCCTGGCAGGCAGGCATGTCACACAGGACATGACACACATGAGAGAGTTGGAGGTACATGTGAATGTAAGGCCAAGTGAATGTTCCTCAGTGCACAGCAAGTGCGATGTGGCTCGAGTGGAAGGATGCATGTGCCAACAATGAGTGTCCAAGAGCCAAAAGTGTTCCACATATTGCAGTGCCTCATAGTCACTAACCACCCCACCAGCCCCTGCAGTATGCCCCATCCCACCCTTACCACCGCACCGCACCGCACCTGGCCGTGCAGTATGGCACACATGCCAGTGACCTCGTTGAGTGTGACGGCCGGCACGTGCAGCGAGCGTGCCAAGCCTGCATACATGCTGTACAGCTGACAGCGGGGTAGGGGGAGGGGCCAGTGCGGGGCGGGAGGGGACAGGAGGACGATGTGGGAGGTGTTTCAAGGGGAGGGGCCAGTGTGGGAAAGGTGAGCAATGAAGAGTGCCTTGATCGAATGCAGATCATGGCTCAAGTGTGCATCAGGGATCTGCATCAGGGACCATGGGCACAAGCACCCGGGGAGCTGAGAGCGCTTCAAGCCCCTGAGGAAGTACCAGTGAAAGTAACCGAGGCACTAGGGAGAAGGCACCCGAGGGGCAGTACCTGCGAGAGGAGGAAGTCGTTGGTGGTGGAGGGAGGCTTGGCCCGGGTGATGAAGCGGTGCCGTGCCCTGTGCTGCTGGTGCTGCTGCACACACGCCACCAACACCATCTGTGAGGTACAGGGGCAGTGGAGGAAGTGTGGGAGCAGTATGGGACAGGTAGGGCACATGGGATGATTGTTGCATGGGATGATTGGCACATGTGATGCATCAGCGGTTGATACTGAAACAGTGATATGCGAAATGTGTTTGAAGTCGACTCACAACACACAGGCCGCACTGGTACCTGCTGGTGCAGCGCGCACTGGTACCTGCTGGTGCAGCGGCAGCGAGCGAATGCAATCGACAGTGGAGGAGGCGAAGGAGCGGGAGAGGGCCTGTGCCATGTGATGCACCTGCACCTGCAGGGACACCGCCTCCGCCACGGCCCCCCCTCGCTGCCTCTTGCCCGTCGCCTGCCCCACTGCCTCCCCCTCTGCCGCCCGCTTGCCACTCCTGCCGTCCCCTGTCGCCCCAACAGTGCTGTCAGCAGGTGAGCCTGCACCAGGCAGGGCTTCCCTAGTATCTGCCTCCCTCACATCCACCTCCCCCATGTGTGCCTCCCTCAGCTGCGCCTGGATCTCTGCCTCGAGCACATCCACTGCCATTCTGCGCGCACAGGGGGGAGTCACGGCGGGGGGAGAGAGAGCAGGGCGGGAGAAGGTGAGGAAAGAGATGGTAAGTAGGAACAGAGTAAGTGGGGAGAGTGAGGGAAGAAGAGGTTAGAGGGGAAGAGAGGGCGAGTGTGTAATGAGAAGAGACAGGGCGGCTATGACTGCAACCAAAGGCTGTTCAGGACGGCAGTTTCTGGCTATGGTGAAGGGGCGTAGGGTGGGGTGTATGATGAGAGTGAAGGGGCGTAGGGTGAAGGGGCAGAGAGTGAACGGGCGTACGGCGAGAGTGCATGGAAGGGGAATGATGGAGCGCTTGGCTGACCTGGTGATGTCAAGCGCCTTGCGCATGTCCCCTGACGCCGCTGCCACTTTCTGCTCACACACGCACACACAGGCATGCACATGCACAGACGGGCACGCACGCACAGGCACACACAAAATGGCCAAGGACGGAAGGAAGAAAGGATAGAAGAGGAGAGGACAGGAGGGGAGAGGACAGGAGGGGAGAGGACAGGAGGGGAGAGGACAGGAGGGGAGAGGACAGGAGGGGAGAGGACAGGAGGGGAGAGGACAGGAGAAATATCGTCAGAGAGAGGAGAGAGTAGCAAGAATGGTCGTTGGCAATCTGGGAAAGGGGCGGGAGGAGGATGATGGATGAAAGAGAGACACACAACACCATGGCGACATGACTTGGCTCGTGTAAGAGCGAGTGGGAGAGAGCAACACACCCGAGTGCAGCGCCATGGGGTCAAAGGAGAAGGACGTGCACACGCTCTCCCATGCCCCTCCCTCCACTTCTGCTGCCCCACGCGCTGCTGCCCCTAACTAGCCTGGCTTTCAACTAGAGAGACACAGAGAGCAACGCACCCGAGCGCAGAGATGCAGCGCCATGGGGTCAAACGAGAACGCCGTGCATGCGCTCTCCCGTGCCCCTCCCGCCACCGCTGCCCCACGCGCTGCTGCACCGACTGGCATCCCTCCAGCAGCCTGCCCGGGTGGAACACACACAGAGGGGCGCGGCAGCAGGGAGGTGAGCGAAGCATGGAGAGAGGGGCGGGGAAGCAAAGGGTGAGAGAGGCACACAGAGGCAGGATGACGATGAGAGAACTGGGGGATATGTGTGGTCTGGCGAGCAGGTGAGCATGGCAGTATGGCGAACAGGTAGCCATGGCAACTGGTGCATACCTGGAGCCTTTGGGAGAGAATCTCGTAGATTTGATTGCGATCGTATGCTGGGAACGGCAGGAGTGTTGGGCGTGCTGTCACTCCCCTGAGAGGAAGCAGGAGGGAGAAGAGAGGCGGTGAGACGCGAAGTGAGAATTGTGGGGTGGGTGAGGGGAGAAGAGTGAGTTGGAGGGACAACGAACATTAGCAGAACGGTCACAGCAGAGTGAAGGCTGGAAAAGGGAGCGAAAAGAAGGTATGAGGGAGGGTAGGGTAGAAGGGAAGGGAGGAAGGGTAGGGAGGGTGGGAGGGAAAGGAGGGCAGAGAGGGAAGGGAGGGAGGGAGGGAAAGGAGGGCAGAGAGGGAAGGGAGGGAGTGAAAGGACGGGTATGGGGGATAGGAAGCGCACATTGAGTTGGGGCGGGAGAGGTGTGGCAGCAGAGAGTCGATGAGATGAATGGAGTTGGATATGCCTGTTGGGTGGGAGAGTGTCCAGGGGCGATCAGGGGCACGGGGTGCAGGATGGAGGGGTTTTGATTGGAAGGTTGTTTCGAGCTTTACACTGGACTGGAGAGAGGTCCTGAGTTGTATGTAACGAGGACGCAGCACTGAGCAATGAGGATACAGCATCGACTGACCAATTAAGAAAGCAGCAGTGACTGACCGATGAGGATGCAGCGCGAGTGGGCGTGGAGCGAGGGCAGGAGGAAGAGGTCGGTGAGTACGGAGGTGTCTCTGCCCCTCACCAGCTGATCCACCTCGTCCGCCACCACCAGTCTGATGCATGCCATGCTCGCGCCACCCGCACAGCACACACCACACACAACACAGAAACCACAGCATTCACAGACAGCGTGCAATGCACACGAGGGGAACATTGCATAGTTTGGGGAGACACAGACAGCAGATGAGCAATGAACGTGCTGCCATGAGTCGATCTCTGTGGATGACGACCAAGGTCGTTGAGGGCATTCGGAGGGTGAGAGGGCTGACTCAGAGAGCGAGGGGGTCGACTTTAATGCCGAGAGGGGATTGACTCAGATGAGAGGGGGCTGACTCGGACGACAAGAAAACTGACTTAAATGGCGAGGGGACTAAATGCAGAGGAAGAGAGAGGGCTGACTCACATCATAGGTTTCCTCCCACTCTTGTCACCACCAGCATTGGCTCTCCCGCCCACCTGCCCCTTCCCCCCCTCTCCCTCCCTCAGCCGCAGCACTCTCCTTGCTCCTGCGCCACCCTTCTCCCCGCTTCTGCCACCTCCTGTCCCCCGCGTCACTCGTCCCTTCCCTGCAGCGCGCGCCCCTGCAGCGCATGCCTGTCCTGTAGCTCCTGCTTGCCGTGCGTCCGCTGCCTGCCGTGCGTCCCCTGCATGACCTTCGGCCCCTGCCTGTCGTGCGTCCCCTGTCACCACTTCAACCACGTCATCGTCCTCCCCTGAAGACTCTGCCTCCTCACTTGCATCCCTCGCAGCCTCGCCCACAACCACCCGCGACTCAATCCTCTCCGCTTGCTCCGCCTCCTCCTCCTGCACCTCCTGCTGCAGCAGCGACAACACGGCCTCTCTCGCCCCTTCGCCATCCCCGCTCGGCCGCGCTCGTCCTGTGCCCCCTCGCTGCCGCCCGCCCTTCCGCCCGCCGTGGTTAGAGGGGGAGGTGTGGTGCGCAGCCTGTGCTGCTTCTATGGCGCGCTCCATCTGAGGCTCGCGCGGGGAGTGAGGGGAGCGGTGGGACGGGGGAAGGGGGAGGGATAGAAGGAGGCTCAACAAGAGGAATGAGGAACACACAAGACGACACAAGACGAGAGAAGGGGAAGGGGAAGTGAAGAAATGGGGAAAGTGGGGAGCTCAAGAAGGCACAAGGCGACAAAATTCGCGAGCTTTGAACGGAAAGAGGGGTTGAGAAAGAGAGACCAGGAGTAGTGCGTATATGAGCGCGTGAGAGGAGCAGCAGACTACAAACGGGGGGCGAATGCGGGGTGGAGAAAGAGCGGGGCGTCACCTGGGGGAAGAGGCTGGCGGGGTCGGTGAGTGCCATGCAGTTGACGTACACCGGCACACACAAGGGCTGCCGAGGACAGGGTGAATGCCGGGTTGAACGCACGGACGCCGGGCACATGGTGACGAATGAGTGTTTGGTGTGATTTGAATTTGGAGTGACAGGAGCAGGGTGAGAGGCGAATGAACGGTAAAGGGTGAACGAATGTGTGAAGGCGACGGAGCGATAGGGGCAGTGATGATGACTCAGTGTTGCGGAAAGAAGAAAAATGATGCTTGTAAGAGCAGTCAAAAGGCTGCGTGCGTGCTCGCGTCACTGACGCGGCATTTCCTGGGCTCACCTCGCCGGCCGCGTTCGTCCACGTCGCCACCTCCTTCGCCACCTGCGACAGCATCAAGGTCTTTCCTGTTCCCGGGCAGCCGCAAACGTATAAGCTGCCCGCGCGGCCGTTGGTCGCATGGTCACGACAGAATGCGACGATTTGATCGCGCTGCGCGTCGCGGCAGCGAATCTGAATCGGCCCGCAGCTGTCGTCGGCTGCGTCGCTAGCGTCGCTGTTTTTGCACTGGCGACCGTCTGCGACGAATGTTTGAAGATAACTTGTAATGAATGTCGCACACGATCCAGACATCGCGCGACTGCAGTCGGGATGGGTCGTGCGACGTCTGAAAGCGACTGCGACCGAGTGTCGCGCACTTTGTCGTCCGGCCCCATGCAAACTACAGGCCACGGCAATATCAAGGCTCAAATCGACAATGAGCCTAAAAACAGCAAGGCGCGGAGCCAATAGCGATCGAACGACGCGGAAGCGAAGGAAAAGAGTACAATCTGAGTCCGACCAGTGACACTTATATGCGATGCGTGCAAAAATGCTGGAGGCAGAAGATACGGCTGCCAGAAAGGTTGAACGTCAGACACACTGCTCCGGCTGTTGACGTCGTCGTCACTCAGTGGTGCTGCGATATCGCTAGCCAACAGGCTATGATCCAGTGCAATAACTCTATTCTGAAACCTGACCGGGCTGCTTCCCGTTGTGATATCCGAGTATTCAAGCACTGAACCTGCCTGATTGGTTTCACCTGCCTTGGTTTTCGTTGCTCCGCCTTCCTTGCTTTCTGCCACCTGTTTTCTTTTCCCCTTATTCCCCGCGCCTTGGTAGTCTCCCTCCCGCCTTTCGTCGGAGAGAGAGTGCTGTGGTGCCACTTTCGTGAGCTCTCGCTAGAACGAACAGCTGGCGAGGCGAAGCCTAGAAAATGACCCGCTATCGTCCTACCACTGTACGATATGAGTTGAGAATTCAAACAATATCTACTATTCAGAAGCTATGTATTCGTACATGTATGCCATTTCACTCAGCGTAACATTACGACCTGTGCGACTGTAGGCGAAACTCAAACAGCCAATAGCAGAGAGCGAGCGCCACGCGCACCCATGAAGCAGCAAAACAGAAGATCAACCGTCCCAACCGCGCAACCTCCGCTGACCAACTGGCTGCATGTGCGGTTCGGAGGTTGCGATTCCAGAAATTGACATTTTGACTCACACACACATGAATCCGGCTGGCCTCAGCTATAAGAACCAGCACTGAAACCGTCATTCCATCACTCGACAGCGAGTTCTGCTTTCCTCTCTCCTACCTCAATTTTTGGTTCTGCTTTCCTCTCAGAAATCAACACTTTCTTACCAGATCTCCCGCTTGTGGTACCGTTGCCTTTGCGTCGGCCCAGCTATCATGGGGCTGCGGAGCGCGCGCGTGGCGCTGCTGTGCGCGGTGGTGGTTGTGGTGAGCCTCGGCGGGCTGGGCGGGGGGAAGCTGGGCGCGGAGGCGATCGCCAGCAGAGACCTGACGAAGCCGTTCCAATGCGACAAGAACAGCAACTACGGCTTGTGGTACACGTACGCGTGCGTGTGCCTGGGCGTGAGCGATCTCGAGTCGGGCTACTACTGGTCAGCGGCCACCGACATGGCGTTGGGCATGACGTGCCCGGGCCCCAACGAGGCGGCCTTGGGGCGCATGGCGTTCGGCAACAAGTGGCTGGAATCTGTGGGGTACAACCACTGGATCGACGAGCTCATGCGCTGCGCGCGGCAGCCGTGGCGGCCAGACGCTATGCTGCGGCGCTGCGCCATCCCGAACATCATCAGCCGCAGCAAGGAGCTGTTCGTGGGCAACGGGTACCTGCCGCCCGACGGCAAGGTCAACGGCCGCCCCTGGAACTGGAACCCCGAGCCGCCCTACCACGGCGACAACTGGCGGTCGTGGGCGTTCGAGAAACAGAAGCCCGTCTACTAGATGCCTGAACCACTCGCTGCTGCCGGCTGCCGGGTGCTCTCTCTCACACGCATGCGGTTGTTCCCAGCACGTGGTTACGTGCAGGGCGGGGGTTTGTTTAGGGAGGAGGGCGGTGGTAGGGGGGTTGGAGCGGAGAGGCCTGACTGTGGTCGGGATGGGAAGGGGAAGGGAAGAGACGTGCTGGTAGGTGATGGTACGAGGGTTAAGGCATGCGTGTAGGAATAAACAGGGTTGATGATGTTTGTATGGACGCTGGTTGGGTAATGAATTCAAATCTTCAAGTTCCTTGAAACTACCGTAGGTGAACTCCCTGAAAATAGAATGAAAAACTGGTCGCAGAGAGCTGAATCACAAATTACACCCCTACCACCTTGCTCCTGTTGCCAGTCTTCAGAAAGGGTGCTGTAATTTGTTGGAGTTGAAAGGGTGTTGGTGTTGGGCGTTGCTACAAGAAAACCCCGCGGCCCGTATGACAGCTTCCACTTGTGGAAGCACCCTCCTAGCCATCTGATGATACTACCGGTACCAACCAAACAACGCCTGAGAGCAAATATGGTACCACGTCAGCTCAGCGCGTTCTGCTGGTCAGGATCGTAACACACGTGTTGTGAAACCCACCCATAGTTCCTCACCTGAACTGAACACAGGCTTGAGGGGGCTGCTGCTGCTGCTCGCTGGGTTTACTACGTTTGGTTGGGTAACATGCCATGCCATGCCAGCGCAACGCTTTGCACCGACCGCTGCCAGCTCATGATGAAACTAGTGTTGGGCTGAGTAAAGCCATAAGTTTGGAGTAGAGCAGCAAAGCAGAGTGATAGAAGGGTGTGTAGAAAGGCTAGACCACACACATGAAGGCAAGAATCCAGATTGTAGATGTGTAGCTGGAAGGTCAGGTCAGGAAACTACAGGTAGGAATCACAGCAACAGACATATTGGACCACAGATATTCGTGGTCACTCATGTGAGTCTGCAACGGTACAAATGTAGGGCACAGCAGTGCTTTGATGGAGTGCTGCATGCATTCTGGCACCATTGAATCGTACTGCTATTGTACTGTACTGGAGAACATAACAAGCTGATAGACAGATGCACACAGCACAGCTGTTACCCAGCCCTTACACCTGTATGTGCCGTCGGTTGTCCCAGACACATCCTCATGCTTCCCTCTCCCCTCCCCCCCCCCCCTCCCCCCCCTCCCCAAGCCAACTCCTCCCCATCTACCAAGTACCCCTCCTTCACCCTGTATTTATCACCAGCAGCATCCCTTGCATGGGTACAGTCACAGCAGCATCAACGACCCAGCCTCGTAGCACCCAAGACTTAGCTGACCGACCAACTAAAGCACAGGACACGCTACTCTCCCTCCTATCCCCCCTCCACCTCCCTTCCACCTAGCCATCCCCTCCCTACCCTCTTTCCTCTCCCTCCCCACCCTAACCTCCCATCCCCCCCTCCCTCCCCTCCCATTCCCTCCCTTCCCCCCTTCCCCTCCCTCCACCCCCCTCCCCCCAACACCAGCCATCCCTGCATGGCCCAGGGAGCAGCAGCGCGGCAGGCAGGGTCATCTGGAGGGGCGCATGAGCACCATGCCACCCATGGGCGGCCGCATGCCCGACGCACCAAAGAACTGCCCCGGCAGCGGCAGCACCGCCCCCCGCCCTGCACCACCCGGCATGCCAAACGGCATCCCCGGCATACCCGGCATGCCAGGGAGGCCCATGGGGGGCATGCCTGGCCGCAGCAGCTGCTGCGGGAACCCTCCGGGGGCAGCCCCGCCTCCGGCTGCTGCTGCTGCGGCGGCGGCGCCGATGGGAAGGCCGGAGCCGATGGGGACGGAGCCGAGGTGGTCGCGGATTCGCTGGTCTATGAGGGATTGCGTTTGCTCCTCCTCATACTGCTGGTAGTACGTGCGCACGTTGGCCTGGTAAGGAGGGGGGGAGGGGGAGGAGGGGTGGGCAGGGGCAATGAACAGTGGAAGGGGAGGAAAATTTAGGAGGAAACAGGGGTGGGGAGATAGAGAAGAGGGGAGAGGAAGAGCCGATGTGAAGGCGAGAGCCGATGGGGAGGCGAGAGCCGATGGGGACGGAACCCAGATGGTCCCAAATGCGCTGGTCTATGAGGGACTGTGTTTGCTCCTCCTCACACTGCTGGCTGTACGTGCGCACGTTGGCCTGGTAAGGAGGGGAGGAGGAGGACGAAGTGTGATATAGGGAGGGAGAGAGGGGAGGGGAGAGAAGGAAGGAAGGAAACGGAGGGGCTGGTGGTCGATGAGGGATTGCGTTGCGTGGGCTCCTCCTAGTACTGCTGGTTGTACGTGCGCACGTTCGCCTGGGGGGGTGGGGGGAGGGGGAGGACGGGTGGGCAGTGGCGGTTGGACTGTGAAAGAAGAAGGTTAGGGAGTGGAAGGGGCGATTGACCAGCAGGAGTGCATGTGGGTGAGTCGGTTAGTGTGTGTGTGAAGCCACAGGGAAGGAACCCACGTGAGAGCAGACGAGTGCAAGAACGGAAATACAGTTGAGAGCAGAGAATCGTGAGTGTGCCACGTGGATCTTCATGAGCATGCATGCGGCCGCCGTCTACGCTTGTGATTCGCCGCGTCCTTGCTCGCAAAAATCTTCTCTAATTTGCCGTCATGCTCACATCACATGCCACTCCTTCTACGAGCATCACGCACGCTGTGCTGCCACCATGTGCACTGCGTGCTGCGTGTAAATACTATCAGTAAACCCCTCCCTCACCTTGTGCTTGTATCCCTCACCTTGTGCTTGTATCCCTCACCTTGTGCTTGTATCCGGCATTGTGCTGTTTCCTCACAGACGGCTGTGACACGGGGAGGGATCGGTGAGCGCACAGGGGGGAGAGATTGGTGGGGTGCAAGGGGAGGGACTGGGGAACGCAAGGCGAACATCAGGAGTCGCAGGGGAGAGACTGAAGAGTGCACGTGGAGCGGAAGGAGCAAAAAGGAGAGTGAAAGGGGGGTGCTAGGGAAGCGCACGGGGGGTGCAGGAGAGTGCAGAGAAGACAGCGTGCCAGCAGGCGTTGGGGAGTGGAGATAGACTGATGAAATACGTGCAGTGGCGGGTGCGAGAAGGGGTGGACGATAGGCGGCAAGCGAGGAGGTGGAGAACGATGGGGAAGGAAAGAAAGGGGTGATCAGGTGTGCGGATGGTGTACACTGGGAGATTGGAGTCAGGAAAGGGGATGGGACGAAGGGGAGAAGGTGGGAGGAAGGGGGAGGATGGGGAGGAGGGCAAGGGATGGGGAGAAGGGGAGAGGAATGGAAGAAGGGGAGGGGATGAGAAGGAGGGGAAGGGATGGGAAGAAGGAGAGGGGAACGGAATAACGGGAGGGATGGGATGGGAAGAAGGGGAGGGGATGGGATGGGAAGAAGGGGAGGAGATTGGAAGAAGGGGAGATGGGAAGAATAAGAGGGGGTGGGAAGAAGGGGAGGGGATGGGATGGGAAGAATAAGGGGGGATGAGAAGAAGGGGAGTGGATGGGAAGAAGGGGAAGGGATGGGAAGAAGGGAAGGGGATGCGAAGAAGCGGAGCGGATGGCAAGGAGGAAGAGGAGATAAGAAAAAGGGGAACTGAGGACAAGACAGGAGGAGGGCTGGGAGAAGGAAAGAGGGCCACAAATCACGCGCGTGATTCTTACCGAGTCGTGAGTTAAGTACGTGTCGCAATAATCGCAATAGTATCTGCGGTTCAAGACGACACGGTCGAAAGAAGAGAACACCGGGAGGGAGGGAAGGAAGGGGCGGGAGAGAGCACAGACTAGTCAGGGGCGAACTAGTAATGGGAATGAAGGAAAACGAGGGGGGGAGGGGAGAGAAACGCAGAAGGGAAAGGCATGACCCAGGAGGCTCTGGGATTCAAATAAGCGCGACCGTACGCGAACTCTCAGCGCGGTTGATGCCAGCGCGGATAACGGCATCGCGGAAAAAAACGATTCGAAAAAAAAAAACAGGGCATCTGTGACGGTGGGAAAAAAAATTCGTCACCTCGAATTAATTATTATTTACTTAACCCAACCCTAAAAGGGTTGGTCTGACCCTCGAGATCCCAACCCTAACTAGGAGAGCACAGTGGAGCATACCGTGGCATGGCCGCGACGACTGATTTGCGTGCGGAGAACGATGGGGACGGAGAGTTATAAAACGAGGGAGGAACTCCGAAAAGAAGTACAAGGACAACTAGGTGATTTGAGACTAAGTCCGACGAACCCAGCAACTACAATGCTCTTTTTAAAATTTAATATATAAAACAACAAAGAACCACTCACATGCGGGGATAGCTCAGTTGGGAGAGCGTCAGACTGAAGATCTGAAGGTCGCGTGTTCGATCCACGCTCACCGCACGCTTTTGTGTAGTCTTACTACATTGCAAGCACGATATCAGAACATATGAACATTTTGAGGCACACTTCACTCAATCCTGCATATGTCCTTTCAAGCTCCTGGCCCAATACCCTTGGGGGCTGTGGAAACTACATGACCACCGCCTCGTTTTTCACACCCCACCCGCAAATCATGGCTGCTCATCGAGTGGCGCACCTCTCTGCTCCCGCCGCGCGTGCTACGCTCACCCGTCAACGACACGCACCCCTCCTTCCAAGGCTTCCCGAAGCGCGGTCGCCGGTCTGTAGTGCGAGGCTAGACTACGTCACGAGCAGAGCCACCAGATTTAGCTTCGCACCTATCACAGATGCCACCGTGTTCAACGGCGTCGCAAGCAGCCTCGCATCTTCCCGGCCAGCTTTAATAGTTTCTCGCCGATGGCGCGTTTCCGCGAGCTCGCGGAGTGATGGAGCGAGCGAAGGCGGTCAGGGGAAGAACGATCGGAGTGGCGACGGTAGCGAGAAGAAGGAGGGGAACGGGAATGGCGGGGCAGCGGGAGACGCGGAGATGCAGCAGCTGTTGGCGGACATGATGCAGCTGCAATCCGATAAGGCGCGTGTGGTCACATTGTGTGCGCTCACATTGTGCTCAGCTTGTGCTCACCGTGTGGTCACATTGTGCGCAGTGCTGCTTCTCATTGAACGATGCGCTGCATACTTGGTGCTTGTGTTCTTCTTTTCCCTGCTTCTATCAGTTCCTTCAGCGCTCCCTCTATCCGCTGCACCCACCTGAACCCTTCACTCTACCAGAGTCTTCTCATCACACGCAAAGGCTTATACCTCACTTGATCCCCTGATCTTCCCGCCTTGCTCCTTTGAACTTCTCAACCTGATTCCTGATCTTCTCACCCCTACCTTCTCATCTTCTCGCCTTGATCGCTTCATCTTCTCATCCTGATCCCTGATCCTGCATTCCCTGTCCCTCTGACCCTAATGTGCTTCAGGTACGCGTGGAGTCCTTTGTAGAGGAGAGGACGCAGCTGCTGACGGGGATTGCTGAGTCAGCATCAGCAGAGTATGCGAGGATTGCCGAAGAGGCGAAGCGGGGCATGGAAGAGGCAAGCAGCAAGGTGAGGCGAGCAGCAAGGTGAGGCGAGCAGCAAGGTGAGGCGAGTCGCAAGGTGAAGCGAGCACAAGTGTGTTCCAACCCTCCTCTCTGTCACCGGTCCACCGCATTCCCCCATCTTTTTCCAGCCAACCTGTAGATCACCAACGTGTGTGCCCTACAGTCAATCTCGAGTGACAGTTGCTTTAGATGCATACACATGGTTTCATCTCATTTAACCTGGGATTGGAAAACGTGAGGTTCCTGCACTCTTCAACCCCCGGTGCATGTTTTTCTCACCCCCTCCTTTTCCATTCAGGTGCTGCAGCAGGTGGATGCAGAGGCAGACGAGTTTGAGCAGCAGCTGGCAGCAGCGCGGGCAGACATGGAGCGCAGCGAGCGCGAGTTTGACGAGTTTGAAAAGTCCGTGGAGGAGAGGCGCAACTCGCTGCTCTTCTTCAAGCAGCTCTACCGCCGACCCTCCGAGTCCTCGCCTCCTGCTGCTGCCGCTGGTTCACGCGGCTCAGAACCTGCAAGCCGAGGCACGAGGGGATTTGATTCGTCGGATGACTCCTCGTCATCTTCAGCATCGCTGCAGCCCCGCACTCAAACACCCCCTTCGGCTTCGTCCTCGCGATCTGTGCAATCGCTGCCCTCGTCCAATGCGGCGCTCTCTCGCAAGGAGCAAGCACTGAAGGCAGTACCAGAGCTGTTCTCAGCGAATCAAAGGGCGGCTGCATCGCCGTTTCGTCACAAGGTGTATGCTGCCCTTGTGGCTATATCAGGGCTCTCTCTAGTGCAGGCGGTCACGCATGAACCCAAGGAGTGGCTGCAGGTGGCTGCTAGTGGGCTTGTGTTCTCCGCACTGCTGGTGCAAGCACTGTATGAACGATCGCTTGCAGGAAATGGTAAAGTTGATGAGAGAGATACTGGTCGCAACAAGTAGGCTTCTCAATCGTAGGGTGCATCTCTAGTATGAGTATTTGACTGTGTTATCATTACTGTCTGTTACCAGTAGTAGCACAATACAACCAAACTGAAGCAAATGTTGATTTTTTTATTACCCTAATTTCCCTCATGCAACATTTCATTGCCTAAGCGTCCCTACAATAACCGCAATGACTCTTCCTGTGTAGCGAACAGCAACTCTTTAAAAATATCAGAAACCGTCACATTAGAAATCTGGGACGCTAGCGAGTGTGCGTGTAATGGAACGGGAGCAAGTGGAGTTCCGTTTATCGGTCATTAATGTCACTGCGCGGGAAACTGTCTACCATGTGAAGCCATCATGACGAGATGGTACAAGGGCACTTGACTCTTGTGGTGCTGTGTGTGCACCTGGTCCTCACTGCAATGGTTGATGCGCTTTTTGGAAAAAATGCTAGTGCCTCGGCTCCGGGCAGTTCAGCTCAAACCACAAAACATATCCTTGGTGTATTAGCTGTACATTCTCGAGTGATTACCTTATTCAAAGATGGGTTCAATCGTTTCCACAGCTGCCTGTGAAAAGAAAACATACTCTGTATATTTCTATCCATCTGTTTCCGGCATCGGGCAAGCACTGACATGGCCTTTCCCGCATGGCGGGAAGGCCTTTCTGTGGTCGTTCTTGGCTGAGTCGGAGAAAAGCGTGAAAGCCACCCTTGTGAAGTGGTGATTGCGAAATCCCCAACCACGCGAGGCAGTTGGCATCAGTCCCAATGGCAGCTGGGACCATCGGGTCCCTCTCATCGTCGGCTCACGTGAAAGCCCCTACGGGAGCGACGAAAAGCAATGGGGCCTGAGACGCATGATTCTCCACCGATGCAACCCTATTCGCACGCCAGGCAGCCAGCTTGCACGCCGAAGGAAGCTTCCACCCCACTCCCCGTCTCATGACGCTTGCACCTCCTTCCCTCTCGCCTCGAATCTGAGTCATTTCAGTGATCCCCTCATTTCCAGTGACCGAACGCTGCGAAATAAAGCTGAGGGTCCCACAGCTACATTCACAAATCTCAGCAACTCATTCAAGCAACGTCTACGCATAGCAGCAGGATTACGACCCTTTTTACAGTAACCTCTTGCTCTAATTACTCTCTTAAAGAATCGTCAGCATGGTTTATACCGTTGACTTCGAAAGCTTCCCCTCCTCACCCGTCTCTGAATTCGCTCTGGAGATGTTCAGCCGCGTCTGTTGCGACCTGGAGGATGGAGCATGCAATGCAACTGTTTCCACGAGTGATGTTCCTTATTTCCGCGATTCATTCGACTAGAACAGCAGCGAAAGCGAGTCAGCATGCCGGGAAGCCGAACTGGCCTGCAGTCCGATCTGGATTGACGCGGCAAGGTCGAGAATCCGCAGCGCGGCTCTCGCAGTAGTTGAGACGCAACAGCAGTCGCTGCATCTGACGTCGCTCGCTGACAGCCATATGCATGACGATGACCTCTCAGAGTTCGACGTTTCTGCTGAAGTTTGCTCCTGTATGTCGCCGAACTCCAATGAGGCTAAAAGCTTCAATTCGAGGAGCAGCGGCAAGGCTGGTGTTTTCCGGTTTATCGCGACGTCGTTGCGCCTGCGGATGTAAAGCCAGGGGATTGATTGGTAGTGTTATTTAGATGTGGTGCTCACATCATTAGCTCCTGCCTTAGCTGGCAGCTGTAAATTCATTTCTATAAGATGGATATTAGCTGGCAGCTGTAAATTCATTTCTATAAGATGGATACGGCGTGGCCTGGAACATATTGGCCCGTCCTTGTAGTAATAAAAGTTCTCATTTGAACTCTTTCTACGTTTTGTTACTGGATCAGTCCAAGTGATATCTCAACACAGGCTGAGAACCATTACCCATATGCGTTATATAGTGGGCGCGGGTCATGTTGTCCCCCTATAGCTTTGTTAGTGACACCTTTGGAGGTCCCTACCTAGTCATTCAAGGACAGATATGCAGGGTAATTTCACACTCCCCAATCCCGATTCGCGTTTTTTTTTGCCCGAGAGGGTGTGAAATTAAAGGGGCAAATATTCTCCCCGATAATTTCACTCTCGAGGCGCGGTAAAGCTGTGCTGGCAGGGAATGAAAATGACTTGAAATGACCCTGGAAGTGTTGACGATCTTGAAAAATATTTGTATCCAATGAAAAACAGTCACGTCAGGATTGCGTTTATCCGTAACCCTGACCACAAATTCGAATTTGAGTGCCCACACCCAAAATCGAAGACCTAATCACAATTGGGTTGAAAATTCGACACTTTGCGTGGTTTGAAAGTAACATGCCTTTATAGCAAATGCAGTCCCGAATTTCCAACCCAAAGACTTGCAACGAAAATTGACACCTTGTGATTGACACAAATTTGGATGCGACCCGAAAGAATCACCAATCTCCCCCAAATCTCTGGGCTGCGGACAGTATAAATAGCGGTCATTTCTGCAGTTGTCAGCTCAATGATCCTTCACGGTTCGCCAGCTCGGCAGCCCAAAGCCTTTGCTGGTGATCCCGAGTCGGGGGGTGAAATTAGGGGGTGTGAAATTATCGAGAATAGGGTGTAGCGATTTAGGATATTCTGCTTTCCTGCGGAAGTTTGAAACGTCGTCACTCGTCACACCATGCCAATGCACACTGTTTGATTACCTTAATTGTTCATGCACACTGCATGGAAGCCATAGGGTGTGTATGATGATGGATAGCAAAGAAGACATCTCTTGCAGTTTGTGTTTAGGTGCGACAAGTAGGGCAGTATCCTTCACTCGTTCCATGGTGCTTCTAGGTGCTGTGCGACAAGCATGCCCGTTGATGGGAAAAAATGTGCTGGCGTTGGATTCCGCATTCAATGGGTTACATTCGCTGAGAACGGCGGTGATAATGAAGCTGTTAACAATGTTCACATATTTTTCTAAGCTATTCAGTAATAAGTGAAAACCTTTCAAAATCCAATCCAAGCCCCAACCCAATGGCCCAGCCCTAATGACCTGTCCCCAATGTGTCTATGTGACACACGTGTTATTCAGGTAAATGTTAATGGCTCATAAGCTATGTCAGAAGTACAACTTTGGACAGAACCAGCAACTTTCTGAAACTGAGTTTGAAAGAATCTCTTATTTCTGCAGAGACGGGCCAATAAGTTCCGGCCACGCCGTATCCATCACAGAGAAATTAGTCAATGCAGCTGCCAGCCAAGGCAGGAGCTAGAGATGTGAGCACCACATCTACTAAATGTCACTAGGAATACAATCCCCTAACTTCACTTCCGCAGGCGCAACGACGTCGCGATGAACCGGAAGACACCAGCCTTGCTGCTGCTCCTCGAATTTAAGCTCTTTGCCTCAGTGCATTTCGGCGACGCGCATGAGCAACCGTCGACAGAATATTCGAACTCAGAAAGGTCACTGTCGGCGAGCGACGTCAGATGTAGCGACTGCTGCTGTGTCTCAACCACCGCGAGCGCCGCGCTGCGGATTCGCGACCTTGCCTCGTCAATCCAGATCGGGCTGCAGGCCAGCTCGGCTTCCCAGCACGCTGAGTCGGCCTCGCAATTGTTGTAGTCAAATGAGTCGCGGAAATAGGGAGCCTCAGGCTCCGAGCAGGATGAGTCGGGTGTGCACGTGCTGTCTTGGTCGCAACAGACGCGGCTGAACACTTCGAGAGAAAGGACTGAGAGCGGAGATGCAGGGCACATCTCGAAGTCGGCGGTGTGGGCCATAGTGGACAATGCTGAGGGAATTCTTTTAGAGAGGTCTTAGGTCAAAGAGTGCCAATGTCAACAAGCTTCTTCTGAACAGATCCAGTGCAGAATACAATAAGCAGAAGTGGGTTCAGCTTTATCTCGCCACCGTACCGAAGGTGTGGAGTGGATGACGAAACTGTGGAGTTTGCTGGGGAGGAGGGGAAGGGAGGAGAGGGAGGGAAGTCTGTTGGTTTGGATTGGATGCAGCCAACGGGAGCTCGAAGCTTCTGGTCCTATTGAGACAATCCGCGGAACAAGGCTCTTCACGTGATGCCCCTTGCCCGCACATCACATCACGTGAATGCAGCTTGCATTCCAGTTCAAAGGATGGACAAATCAGGCGGGAAAATTGCGCTTGGTCTGAGAATCAACCGCATCACGTCATCCCGCACAAGCATTTCTCCAATTCAAATCCTCTAGGTTTGCACGCATTGAAGATAGACACGAGTCGAGCACCTGGAGTAATCATGACTTCACGTTACTTCACGGGCTGAATCACGTTACTTCACGGGCTGAATCTGAAGCGCGCTCGCTGTTCTTATGGACAGTGCATACGTGTCCAACCATTTCTTCTGGATAAGCCTGCATCGGGTCGTGGTCGCTCGTCACCTCACCTTCCAAGCCTCCCCCAAAGCACTGCACAGAGAGGTGGCGCGTAACTCAGTTGCGCGTGGCAATGCCCGTGAAGTCATGATTACTCCAGGTGTTGATCTCGTGAAAGATTTGAAGGCAAGGTTGTTTATGACGCGATGCAGCCGATGCGACCACCACGCACAAATTTCCCGCCCTGATGTGTACTGGAAGCTGCATTGATGTGGTGCGCTGGGCAAGGAGCCCTTCACGTGAAGGGCCTGTGCGGATTGCATCACAGGGCCAGAAACTTCGAGCTCCTCCTGTGGGTTGCTTTTCATTGCATCCAACCAAACCAACAGCCCTCACCTCATCCACTTTCACTTTTACACCTTGTGCTATGGCGACATAAAGCTGAACCAGCTGGAGCGTTGGTATCACTCACTGATTTTGATAGAACCAAAGAAGCCTATCGACCTGATCACTCCTCCTGTACCACTCAAGCATCTCCACAACATTTTTCACCATGGCTCCCACCGCCGACTTCGATATGTGCCCAGCATCTCCCCTCTCAGTTCTTTCTTTCGAGATGTTCAGCCGCGTTTGCGACATGGAGAGCGTGTGCAGTCTCGACTCTTCCTCTTCGGATTCCGAGGCTCCCTATTTCCGCGACT